GCACGCGCCACCATGCCCAGCTAATTTTTTGTATTTTTAGTAGAGACGGGGTTTCACCATGTTGACCAGGATGGTCTCGATCTCTTGACCTTGTGATCCACCCGCCTCGGCCTCCCACAGTGCTGGGATTACAGGCTTGAGCCACCGCGCCCGGCCAATTTTTTGTTTTTTTATTTTTTTGAGACAGAGTCATCCTCTGTCACCCAGGATGGAGTGAAATGGTGCTATCAAGGCTCACTGCAACCTCCGCCTCCTGGATTCAAGTGATTCTCCAGCCTCAGCCTCCTCAGTAGCTGGCATTACAGGCATGTTCCCCCATGCCTGGCTAAATTTAGTAGAGATGAGGTATTTTTAGTAGAGATGGGGTTTCGCCATGTTGGCCAGGCTGGTTTCGAATGCCTCCTCTCCAGTGATCCACCCGCCTCAGCCTCCCAAAATTCTAGGATTACAGGCATGAGCCACCGTGCCTGGTGGCACTTTATGATGTAACGAGTGGGTCAGTTATATTGCATACCATGTACCAAAGAGTCATATGTAGAATCATAAGAGTTAGTAAAATTTGTAACCCATGATAAAACCAGCAAGCAAATAATAAGTACATTTATACAGCCTGCAGAATTCTAAACGATTCTCTCTGAAGAAAAAAGCCACAATTTCTACTTACTACCAGCACCCAATATAAGAACGGAAATAGATGTTATGATCACTACCTTTTGATATGTGAGGTCAAGAAAATACACAGCATAATAAGGAAGAAGAGTTGGGAGCACTGTCTTATGCCTGTAATCCCAGCTCTCTGGGAGGCCGAGACGGGTGGATCGTGAGGTCAAAAGTTTGAGACCAGCCTGGCCAACATGGTCAAACCCCATCTTTACTAAAAATACAAAAAAAATTAGCTGGGAGTGGTGGCAGGCGCCTTAATCTCAGCTACAAAAAGAACTAACAGTGTCGGAGGATGCAATTATGATGTCACAACCACATTTATGTCACAGCCAGGCAATACTGCAATTCTATATATATGTGTTGCCCTTACTTATCTAGTTCACTATGCATAAAAGATAAAACATAGAATGTACACTGGGAAAATCTGTAAACTGAGATCAGAGAAAACATGATAAACAAACTGCACATTAAAAACAAAAAATATGATGCAGACTCCCTGGTCTGAAAATTGGCCAAAAGCCATGTCGAGAGTTCTTACTCTCCAATAGGATGGTCCTGCAGATTCAGCCTTTGAGAGAATTTGATCACGGGTGTTGACTACCCGTGAATAGGACGCGTGCTTCTTTTATTTTTTATTTTGTCTTTTTGAGGCGGAGTTTCGCTCCTGTTGCCCAGGCTGGAGTGCAGTGGCATGATCTCAGCTTACCACAACCTCAGCCTTCCTGGTTCACATGATTCTCCTGCCTCAGCCTCCTGACTAGATGAGATTACAGGCATGTGCCACCACACTCGGTGAATTTTGTATTTTCAGTAGAGACGGGGTTTCTCCATGTTGGTTAGGCTGGTCTCTTAACTCCTGATCACAGGTGATCCGCCTGCCTCGGCCCCCCAGTGTGTTGGGATTACAGGGAGGAACCAAAGTATCTGGCCAGGACTAGTGCTTTTTTTTTTTTTTTTTT